TTCTATAAGTGCCTTGGGAAAGAGGGATTCTAGTTTCTACTGCTTGCTTTAGGAGATAATGAGTGGTGAAAGACAGGAGGGCAGAAGAAAGTCAGACAGAAACTTTGTTTCTGAGGTTGCTTCTGAGGCCTTTGCTAACTTTAATTCACCCTTCAATTTGTCAGTGATTCATTTCTTGTCTTTGGAGTTGGTATGAATTTATCTTGAAGATCCTCAGGTTGATCTAAAGTTCTGTTCAAATGGTCTACATATTTCACATATTTTTACCAGCTATCAAAATGTCTTATTAGGAATGGTTTGATAGTACACACACACACACACACACAAAATAGTAAATGTACTATACAGTGACTGTCAAATGTGCCGACCCAACAACTCCTAATGGCATAAGGGAAAATCTCTTCCAACTCCACCATCCTGCTAATGAGAGATAGGGGAGGTGGGTTGAAGAGGTAGGTAGTGACTGCAATCTGGGTATAATGCCCCAAGTGACAAGTTACAAGCTCAGCTATCCTGTTCCATCTCCATATTTTAAGCAAGTATTGAACTTTGTTCTATAGTATGCTCTTGTTTCTTTCCATTTACAATAAGGATTCAATGCCTACCTCCCCGCAAAATCAAAACTTACAGTAGGACTGCCTTTCCTTGAGGGAGCCTCCTGTTCTCCTTAGTTTCACATTTTTTCCCCGAATACTTTGATATGTATCTGTGGTTTGAGAATTACAACTCTAATCTTTTTCTATTTCAAGTTATCTTCCATTCTTTAACATTCAGTAGAGTGTTCTTAAAGAATGACTATAGGTAATCTCTTAACAGAAAATTGAATCATACATACCACGTCTTGTTAAGCAGTACTTTTAGCCCAGATTCTGTTATTTTTGATGGTAAAGTATTTAAGTTACATTCTTTCGTAGTACTTGAAACTACTAAAAATAATTGAAAAGGTTTAATTATCCTATTTACCGTTACAATTTGCTTTGTGCTATACATTTATTGCCATCTCTAGTGAGTTATAGTAACACTGCTGCAGGTGTTTTTAAAATAGATTGTATTGATTACCAGTATAAGACATGGTGAGTATCCAACTGAATTTTAGTTATGAGGAATAGGTGAAAAGGATTCTGTCAAGGAGATGTCAATTTGGCCCCAAGGGGCAAACTTTTTTGACAGTTCTGTACAAAGTAGGGGTTACTGAGTAACTGCCCCTATTATTTAGTAATTGACCCTGACAGCAGTGAAAAATTGAGGGGAGAGGGTGAGCAGAGAATTAACAAGGAGAATCTCAAGTTATATAAAATATCCAGGAAGCATGAAAACTGGAAATCACACCGTAGAAGGAACATTGTTCCTGTCTAGTGACCAATTCCTCATTTGACTAATAAAAGAGAGAGAGAGAGGGAGGGAGAGAGAGAGAAATTGAGACATGAAACTAAAATGTTCTGGGTAGATGCTAACTTTGAGACAAAACAAAGAGAGGCAAAACTGGGAGATTTTGCTCATCTAGTGGTAGGAATAGCCACATGCCAATTGTAATGGGAGTCAGTCCATAGAGAGCTCCATGGTAAATGTGCAGAGGAAGAAACAAAGTACATATTCATTCACTCACATTTGGTTCATTTTTGTATATCTGGTTACCTATCAAGCATAGTATCTGTACATAGTTGAGATGCAGCAATTTACCCATTCATTCATATGAGATATATAGCATTTATTAAGCATCTGCTACATTCTGGTGATAACGATACAGCAGTGAAGAAAACATAGCTCCTCACAAAGCTTACGTTCTGATATCACTAAAATGATTGCATATTCTGGCTGCAACCTGGCGAAACAGTGATCTAAAATGTTAATTATCAAGTGCCCAGATTCTAAAGCCAGTTGGCCTGGGCTTGAAAAGTATTCTGTCCCATTAACTCTCTGCGTGGTTTTGGACAAGTTACTTAATCATTTTGGGCCTCAGTTTCTTTATCAATAAAATGGGGATATAATGAGTTAATACATGTGTGTGTGTGTGTAAGTTAATATAAGTGCTCAAATCAGTGTTTGACACTGATAAGTGCCACATATATGTGTCAGATATCCTTCTTGTTAAGAGAAATTAATCTTAATTTAACTCATGGGTAAATAGTTCTTAATTACAGAATAAAAGGTAGAGACCAGGGAAATCAAGATAACAAAACTTGAGACACCAAAAGCAAATGGATTATTCATGTTTGTATTATTTGTTCAAAGTAGATTATAGAAGGAAAGAGAGAGCACAATCCAGTGGTTAAGCTAGTTACCTGTATCTCTGGCCTGCAGTTTCCTCATCTGTGAAGGAATGAGAAAAGATGTCCTTTTTAGGGGTTCTGGAAGGATCAAAGGAAATGATGTGTGTAAAATGCTTGGCACAAGGCGTGGCTAAGGGTGAGCATTTATTAAATGGTGGCTATTTCAGTTGTAACCTGATTATATTGAACTGACATCATTTATTTAATAGTTTTTGCCATTGCATTTCAGTTCAAGAAGGATTTAAGGAAACTGTCAATCAGAGCATTTCATTTCTAAAAACCATTAAACATTGGTCTCACAGGAAGAAAACAATGCAAAAGTCAGTCAAATCATGCATATTAGAAGTTAATGTTTTTCCAATGAAAAGAGACCCTTCCGGTAAGGTTTTTCAGTCTGTAAATTGTGGAGTCTAGATGGAATTGAGAGATGGTCTAATTAGTTAAATTTATACTTAGGATCAAATGCAACTAAACTTCCATAAACTTACTCCTGAATCACATCATGATCTATTTCCAATACTTATTATTGCTAAATTTTTGTATTTTTGCATCTGTGTTCACAAACACAAATGACTTTTTTTTTAAAAAGTCATATCTTGCTTGAGTAACAAGATTATAATTGACCTCATGAGTTAAGCTTCTTTATTTTTGTATTTTCTAAAATGATTTTTTTAAAAAGGTGGATGGTATTCCCAATTTATTAAATTGTTGATATTATTGGAAAACTATTTAGACCTAGTATTTGCTTTTAGTTGTTATTGTTTATAAATTTCATTTCTTTAACTGTTATCTTTTGAATCAGAATTTTTCTTTTACAAATATTTGTACAAAAATACAACTATTTAGTAATATTTCAAATTTTTCAACAGAAAATTACTCAAAATAGTTACTGCCATTTTTATCCATGCCAAATCAACAAATATTTGCTATTTTTGATATTAAATTTGAATTTCTTTTTTCTTCATTATTCTTGCCTACAGTTTGAGTATTTTCAAAACTTGTGATGTTATTACTCATTTCAAATTTCTGGTCCTTACCTTAACATTTTTCCTTCTTATTTTTTTAGCATTTTACCATTTTTCTTTATCTGGCTTCTTGAGTTGACCAATTTATTATTTTTCTGGAAAGTATGCAAACCTATAATTTCCTTCTGTTTAAATATACAACAAAATTTGGCATGTAGAACCTTCAGTGTCATTTAATTCTGAATAACTGAAATTTCCTTCATAATTCTTTCCTGATTTTCTCTGTATTCCAAGGGTTGATTAATAATTTAGCTCCTAGACATATTTAATATATACCTTTTGTTTTCATTTTCTTATTGACTGTAGAACTAAAGCCAACTTTGACAGGAAGCTGCAATATTTGATTCTAATGTAGTTCTGGGAGTGATCTAGAATGCAATGTCCAAAATCTTTGGACTCACAGTCAAGCTTAGATACTCAGAGAGTCTCATATGCTTTAAAAAAAAAACTACATAGCAAAAGAATGTGCTTTTTTTTTTTAATGTTCACATAAATTTGGTAATTAAATGAAGGGCAATTTCTCCCCTGTTTTGGAAGGAAACATCTAATGTTCCTATCCTAGCTTCTATCAAAATTTCAAAATACTTTCATGAGTCTGAAATTTATAGGCCATATTATTTTCATAAGAGAAACAACATGAATTTCAAATATCTGTGAGAATTTTATCAAGAAACAGTTTTTGCAAATATGTTTTTGTGTTCATACCCATAAAGAGGCATGAATGCCAAAGAGAAAAAAACTCAGAGACACTTTTTTTCTTTAAAAAAAAAAAAAAAAGGCTTCACTCATCTTTTTAGCCACAATCTGTTAAAATCCTTGAGATCAAAGTTGTTCTTCATGAAATACAGCCCTTTTTTGAGAATTTGTTTACATTTATTTTTATAATACCAATATCATCATAATACAAAGGAAAACTTTTTTAAAGCCCTTAAGCTATATAAGTGAGAAAGTTGTTCTAATACAAATAGAACATTTGATTATTACATCTTGATAGATATTGGATGTACTAACAAATTATTAAAAGTAAACAAAGAAAACTGTAAGAAAAATATATAAATAAAAACAAAACACTGTGAGTTTTAAATTTATAAAATTTGCCTGAGTGTACTTGTTTTTTAGAAATGTATCAAATCAAGAGTTGCCATTTTTTTTACCGGATGATTATAGTAATGCATTTGCAAACTGTGAAGATAAATTTATAACGAGAAAAACAAAAATGTAACGTCTTAAAAAACAGTTTAGTTTTCTATTGAATTCCATCTGAACCACAAAGTTATAGTACAGTCTCAATATGAGAGTAAATAAGTGATTATATCAACTGGGAAATGTTTACAAATCTGATGTGGTTACAAAATACTAAAACTTCTAGTCATGGCTTTAGAGATAACAGTTTAGGTTGTGCCAGTTTTCTACAAGCAAATAAAAATAGAACAGTGAAGGATAGCATTGAAAAAAAAAGTTTCTTGGTTTGAAGATATGCTGGTACTTTTAGAAGAGTTTTTGGGAAACTTCCTTTTGAAAGCAGTTTCTTGGCTTTGAGGAAAGTTCTGTTTCTCTTAATGGTTTGATAACACTGAAAAGGAAAATGCAGTTGATTACTACCTGTTTATCTCATATTTGTGATTTTAAATATATCTCAAATATATTTATGATTATCTCTTCATTCCCACCCCTACCTACCCTTCTGTCTTTCTCTGTTTCATAGAAAAAATTATGACATCAACATCCAAAGGAATTCTTCGCCCATTTTTAATTGTCTGCATTATCCTGGGCTGTTTCATGGCATGTCTTCTCATTTACATCAAACCTACCAACAGCTGGATCTTCAGTCCAATGGAATCAGCCAGCTCTGTGCTGAAAATGAAAAACTTCTTCTCCACCAAAACTGATTATTTTAATGAAACTACTATTCTGGTGTGGGTGTGGCCATTTGGGCAGACCTTTGACCTTACATCCTGCCAAGCAATGTTCAACATCCAAGGATGCCATCTCACAACGGACCGTTCACTGTACAACAAATCCCATGCAGTTCTGATCCATCACCGAGACATCAGTTGGGATCTGACAAATTTACCTCAGCAAGCTAGGCCACCCTTCCAGAAATGGATTTGGATGAATTTGGAGTCACCAACTCACACTCCTCAAAAGAGTGGCATTGAGCACTTGTTTAACCTGACTCTGACTTATCGCCGCGACTCAGATATCCAAGTGCCTTATGGCTTCTTGACGGTGAGCACAAATCCCTTTGTGTTTGAAGTGCCAAGCAAAGAGAAGTTGGTGTGCTGGGTTGTGAGTAACTGGAACCCTGAGCATGCCAGGGTCAAGTATTACAATGAGCTAAGCAAAAGCATTGAAATCCATACCTATGGGCAAGCATTTGGAGAATATGTCAATGATAAAAATTTGATTCCTACCATATCTACTTGTAAATTTTATCTTTCCTTTGAAAATTCAATCCACAAGGATTACATCACGGAAAAGCTCTACAATGCTTTTCTGGCTGGCTCGGTACCTGTTGTTCTGGGACCATCTAGAGAAAACTATGAGAATTACATTCCAGCAGATTCATTCATTCATGTGGAAGATTATAACTCTCCCAGTGAGCTAGCAAAGTATCTGAAGGAAGTCGACAAAAACAATAAGTTATATCTTAGTTACTTTAACTGGAGGAAGGATTTCACTGTAAATCTTCCACGATTTTGGGAATCACATGCCTGCTTGGCTTGTGATCATGTGAAAAGGCATCAAGAATATAAATCTGTTGGTAATTTAGAGAAATGGTTTTGGAATTAAAATTTTTCATCACTTGCACACTTGATAAATATTTTGATGAAATATCATCCAAGTATTGAGGATAAGAAGAGATGCAACATACTACTATTGTGTCACAATTTATTTTTATCACCCTCTCTAGGGTAACATGTATATTTTGGTGGAGATTTTTAAAAGCTCAGCATGAGCAATCATTCCATTTGGTTTTAAATTATCCTGTATATACCTAATTATGTGCACTGGAGAGTAATTTATTCTTCATTATCATTTGTAAACATTGTTTTTTCATATTTTTGTAGTTGTCTATAATGTAAGCTTGTGGTTTGATTATTGTTTCTACACTGATCAGCTGTTTAATCTATTTGGGAAATGAAGATGCGCATCTTAAAGAATGAAAAATTTTCACTGAGTATTATAATGTCTAGTTCCAACTTTGCATACTATAACAAAGGAAGAACATGTTGCTATTGAATTCTAACCTCTTTGACTCTGAAGTTGAACGAAGTGTTTAACTGTCTCTATTTGATCTATTTTTTACCTGTTTACCACATTTGTGAAGGTGAAATTGTTCATGGAGTGAATTAGAAATATACGAAGCAGAACTGTTCTATTCAGAAAGCTATTAGACTTCTCATTTATTTTCATTAAGGTGATTTGCAGCTACTTATTCTCATGATCTTAAATTATTCAAGTATTTTAAAATATCCAATTTGTTGTGATTTTCAGCACCTGGGAAGTAATCCCAATAATACTTTAGAAAATCGAAGACAGTTCTCTTTCTGCTACTGATAACACTCATTGTCATAATAAAACAAATGATTTCCTCAAATAACAAAGAAAAATGATACATATAAATATATTTATAAATGGTGTCATTTATGAAGAATGTTTAATTACTTATCAATTTAAGATTTTTTTTCTGAAGCCCTATTATTTAAAATCATCTTATTTTACCATATGGATATAAGATTTGGCTCATAATGATGAGCCCTATCATTTGATTTGAGTTCTATCATTTCAGAGAGCCTAAATAAAATTATCACCAAGGAATTAAATATAAGATGTTAAATATAATAAAGTGGGGATATATAGAAAACACACAGTGTTAGCACAGAGTAAGATCTCAATGCACATTTGTTGGATGAATAAATAAATGCAATTGAATTCACAGAAAAATGTTTGTTTGTTTCAAGGAAGTGACAGTTCTACTTTAGAAGTACTAATTGGAGATGACTTTTATATCCCATTTTGGTAATTATTCATACATAGCACATACGACCATGATGTTCAGGGCTTTACAGAACCAAAATAAACCTACCATTACATGAAAATTTTGAAGAGTATATTCCTGAACTTGCAGCTGCCTATAGCATTCTCCTCCATAAGGCTAGAGAAGAGGAGAGCTGGATATAAGCAGAGACAGTAGGTGAAAAAAGACAGGCCACTAAGGATTCTTCAAGGAAAGCATTCCTCAAAATAATCTTTAGTGCCTTTATTCCATTCAGGCCAAAAATCTATCCAAAAATTAGAATGTTCTGAGGACATCCATTTGGGTCTATTTGTGACTTATCCCATTAGTCCTATTACAAGTTGACATCAGCAAAATTCAAAAAGAATTCAGTAAAAAGGGCGTAGATCCAGCTACCCAGACTATCTTGTGAGAGAATAAGCTCACCCTAGCACCAGAAAGATTTGAGCAGAGGAATATTCTTGTAATGAATAGAGGATTGTTTGATTCTCAGGTATATTTCTTAAGCCAAAATTGAACGCAGTGTCAGACACTGCCTTAACACCCACAAAGATAAGATGAACAAGGTACTATCACTGCCTAAAATGAGCTAACAATTAAGTGGACAGACATATAAAAACTTCCTTTCAATTCAGTCTGAGACTGTTTACATGCATGTGCTACTCTCAATGAAGTTTGTATGAGTCAATGCTGATTTAATGGGGCAAAAAAGTAGCAAATTTCCCCAATTGCTTAGCTGTTTGACATGTTTCTGAGTTGCAAACTTTGTTAACTCTTTTGACCCAATATATTATTCTCTCTGTATTACCTCTTCTAACCACAATGCATTAAGAAATAATATTTTTATGTGGATGTCCTCCTCAATAAGTAAAGATCTCCATCCATATTTAATTAATTGGTAAGACAGTCAAATTCATACATTTACATTTATTTGTCAAATTTTTGACCTGTAAAAAGCATAGAGATCTAAAAAGGATACACTGCTAACAAGTTTAGAAAGCACCTGCTTTTTTTTGTTGTTTGTTTTGTTTTTTGTGATGGAGTCTCCCTCTGTCACCCAAGCTGGAGTGCAGTGGCATGATCTCGGCTCACTGCAACCTCAGCCTCCCAGGTTCAAGCGATTCTCCTGTATCAGCCTCCCGAGTAGCTGGGATTACAGGCATGTATCACCATGCCTGGCTACTTTTTGTATTTTTAGTAGAGATGGGTTTCTCCATGTTGGCCAGGCTGGTCTTGAACTCCTGACCTGAAGTGATCCACCTGCCTCAGCCTCCCAAAGTGCTGGGATTACAGGTATGAGTCACTGTGTCTGGGCCACCTGCTTTTTTGAAGGCAGAAAAGCATTCGATATTATTTCAACCCGCCTTGGCTCTAGTGAATGTTCATGATTTGAAAGGACTGAAAGACCTAAAGGCATTGTCTCTATTGTTGACTACAAATTTAGGCTCTTTGTTGGACTATGACTATAATCACACACTGATAATACGACCCAAGTCGAGGCAGTACTAAGTGTCTAACAGGTGCATTGAAACCCCATTACTAAGTCCCAGAAAACTGTTTCCTAAATTTGAAGTGAAATAATTGAACGACTCAGTGGAACCATTTAGCTCTGGGTCCATTGATCTGTGAGTTTTAGGGCTAGAAGGAATTATAATTTTGTTGTTTATAATTGCTATAATATAAACATTATAATTGCTTTTCTTTCTACTTATGAGTTAACTAGATCCAGAGGTATCTATTCAAGACACACATGCACACACACATCGCAGCTAGTGACAATAGTTAAGATTAGGATTTAGGGATCCTATTTCTCTTAATCCCACTTTTTTTTTCAATCGCGTTCCTACCTTATCATAGAATTATGTCTCAATTTTTACAAATGTGAATGTCTTATTGGTATTTTTAGGACCTATAGAATGGTATACCTCATGTAGAAGAACTTCGACTTTTGAAGGTATACAATAAATAAAACATCAAACTTGTTAGCATTCGTTCTGGTTTAAATATTTTAGGAGTTGAGTTCAGCAGAAGGAAATGGGCTATCACTACATTTAAGTGAAATATAGCCCTCAAGAAAGTGTATAGTTCACAGCCACTCCTTTAATAAATCCTGTGGATTGCAATTCTTTGTAAGAAACTTATGGAAAAGATATACTGATTCAACAAAATTGGTTTGCTGTTGATTATACAAACAAATAATTATGCCTGGAATTAAATTGTGGACACAAAAAGGGAACACACTGTTTAAAATGTTTTATTTCAAAATATCGAAAAGCCATTATCTTCAGTACTCTAAATATTTAAATATTAATTATTGTAGTCATCAGTAAGAACAAATAAATATTAATCATTATAGACTTTATTAATAAGAATATATACTGAATTGTCCACATCCAGAGTACCACACCCTGAACAAGAAAGACATGAGAGCCTGACAGCCATATATATTATGACAGCTGCATATCTGACAATATGAAGCCGATAATGAAAAAAACATCATCTTAGTGGGAAACAAATACATGCTTAAAATATTTATATTTACTGTAACACTGCTGATAATCTCAGATTGTGCGGAATTTTTTTTTTTTTTTTTTTTTTATTGTGAGGGGCTTAGAAAGCTCAGAGCATTTGATGTGTAAAGCAACAGAATATTTAGGAATTATTTGCTGAGCCTTTCAATTCTTGCCTCCAATTGGAGGTTAAATATGAAAAGAATAGGAAACTATGCCTCTGATATTTTTGTCAGTCTATTTTTAAACTAGATTCCATGAGTCTTAAGGTAATCACCTAGAATTTTTTTTTGCATGAATTAAAGTTACCACAACTTTCAGGTCCTTACCTTATGACTGTGTTTGATCATATCTTTGAGCTCCCTTGAACTCTGATCTCATTTTAGAAAACTTCTTAACCATTACAATCAAGCTGTTAAATATAACAAACATCAAAACCTAAAGGATACGCACAGTGCCTAATGTACAGGAGGGTCATATCAAATATTTGTTGAATAAGTAAATGAAAGTCATTAGTTGTCGTAAAATATTTTTTAAGAATACTGATGGTGTTTTTTGGCACCAACTGGAGATGATATTTTATATTTATTTGATTAGTCAGTTTGTCGCCTGGATGCGAAAGTAAGGCATTTTAACTCCTTTCTATCTTACCACATTGTAAATCATCAAAAGAAGTAACATCGCAGGAAAGATTAGAAAGGATTTGGATCACGTTAACATTCTATGCAAATATTAGTAACATATCAACTGTTTCTAATAGGAAAGAAAATTAGTATTTAAGGAGAGTATAAAGTGCAAGCACTGTGAAGGGCAGATATCTATTACCAAACCACATGGAGAGAAATATAGTCTCTCTCCTAACTTCATTCCATTGTATTGCAATCAGTGAATTAAGGTGATTTTTTTTTTTTCTGGATGTCTCATTTAGAGATTTTGTAGCATTTTGCAAATGGGTATGCTTCACTACTATCCAAAGTGCTCTCCCCTTTAGTAATTCATATTGAATGTGTCCATATTCATATGCATTTTATAAAACAGTTAACAGAACCTAAATAAGAGCCTGCTAAACCTGGAATATGAGTGCTACCCTAGGTTATGAGTTCAACAAACTAATTTTGAAAAAGCCACCTAACCTCTCTGGACCTTGTTTGTAAAGTTTCTTCTAGCACTATTACTCTTATCTAAGATAGAATTTGATATATGCATAAAATTCCTAATGGAATTTCAATAACCATCGCAAAGTAATTTTTTAGAATATCCCATACAGATTTCCTTCTCATTTCTCTGGGTAGATACTTAAATTATGAAACTGATTATTTAAACTAACATGTGGAAAGAACCTAATCCAAAGCTTGGAATATAGAAAGTGCTCAATTAACTGACATTCCTCCTGTATTTCCTCCCTCCCTTTAGTTATCTATTACTTTTGAACTCACTACTCCCTGACACCTTAACGGCCTGCAGAAAAATCAATCATATTTGGGGCATTATTTTGAAATATTTTAGAGTTTTCTGTACCATGCAGATTCTTATTACAAAAATCTGAAGATATCTATTGATGCAAAAAATTTAGGGAGTCATTGGAAATACCTAAGGCAATCCCAAGCTAACGATAAAATAGCATAATTGTAAGTAAGCTAGATTGAGTTCATTTAGAACATTTAGCTATTTTTTTAACTAATAGTCAACATATGTCCATGCATTTGATTTACTTTAAAAATACTTTTATTTAAAAATAACCTCTCCAACACCAGTTGCTTGCTCTCAGTTTTACTCAAAGCACGCTTCCTAGGTCACCTGACCTAGAATCACCAGAAGTGTTAACAATACCGATTTCTGGGCTTTGAGCCATGAAATTAGAATTTCTTCAAATAATCCATGCCCTCCTGCCATCCAAAAAAAGAGCATGCTTTTAATACATTTCCAAAATTATTCTGTTTCTGCTATAACTGGTAAACCATCCTGTCCTAAACTAGCAGTTCTCAAACATGCATATGCCTTTGAAGCTTCCTAGATCATCTGCATAAAAATCATTTGAAAGATTGTTAATAATACACAGCTTCTGAGTCTCTGGGTGTGAGATGGGACCAGGAATCTTATTTTAAAAATCTCCCCAGATGGTTCTGGTGTCCTGCTAGTTTTGAGGTTTGCATCCCACCTGTTTAGATGGGAAGTATTCTATTACATATGAGGTATTATCTGTCTTTGGTTCACCTGGAATCTTCTTAAATACATAGGTAAAGTATTCTACCTCAAGATCCAAGACATTTTCTATGTCTAATTATTTCACACATGAGCATGGAACTCACCAGTCTTGTGATTTAGGGCAAGTTATTTATAGTCTCCAGACTTTTTTTCCAGTTGCAAGTTGCTTATAGTAGTTCACGAACCTGAATGCACACTAGAACCATCTGGAGAGGATTTAAAATTGCAGATGTCCAAACCCCACCTCCAGAGAGTTAATCTATTTAGTTTGAGGAAAAGCCCAGAAGTCTAACAGGTGTAAAGGCTCCACAGGTAATACTAATGTGGGCATACCTCAGGAAATTACTAGTTCTTGTCCTGGAGGAACTTTTAGGAAAATAAAAGGCTACATATCTTGAAAAAAATATCTCTAATTTACTTTCTAGGTTCTAACTGCATGTTTATATTTTGCAACAGGAAAGACTGGTCTAGACAATTACTGGGATATATGCTTCTGTGATCTGCTTTTCTATTGTATGCATTTAAGAGATCGCATTCTTGGGTTCCAAAGTCTCCTTGCCTAATAGATAGAAAGGTAATTTGCAATTGAGATATGGCAAAGAATTGCAGCATCCAAATTTTTGACAACCACAGATTTAGAATTGAATCCAAAGTCTGCCATTCACTAGCTATGTGCAAGTTACTCAACTTCTCTACCCTCAGATTTTGCAGCTGTAAAGTAGAGGTAGCATATTTCTGAGAAATTATATTCAAGTGACTAGATACGTGTTCAGGTGTTATCGTTTATTCTTATGAAAGATAATTGTGAGGAATCCAGGGCTATTTTCACAGTTTTAGTTCTAAAACTCTGAAGATGTTAAACAGG